CTGCTTCCTGGCTGCCAGACACTGACAAATAATAGGTTTATATTCCAAAGGTAGAACTGTGGAGGATTTCACTCTGAGGAAGAGGTTGCTGTAAAGGGGAAATATTCAAGGGCCAAGACAATCTCTTGAAAATTATAAACATGATAATAGAAATGAAAAATGAAATAGAAGATTTAGAAGATAGGAAATCTCCCAGAAAGTAGAACAAAAAGATAAAGAAATCATAAGTGGGAGAGAAAAAAAATTCGGGGACCAGTACAGGAAATTCAATAACCAGCTGTTGTACCATTTTCCAGATGTGGAATCTGAGGCTTTGATAGGTAAATAAGTTATAGAGGATCATTTGGTTAACCCTGGGATGAAATTTAAACCCAGATCTCTTTGACTCCACTATGCTGTTGCAAAGAGGACAGGCAGTTAAGTGCCAAGGAGGATCATATTGGTTAGTGGTCATAGTGTTGGCTTGGGAACACTTGTCATTTAAGGGAATATCCAATCTAAATGAGCTGTCCATAAAAGGTTAACCTGTGAGCTGATTAATATGGCAACATATTAATGAGGGATCAGAATACATAGGTATTCTCAGGTTCAGAGAGGGGAAGTAGCACACATGCCTTTTGCTGCCCAGCAAATGTGGCAGGGCAGGAATTCAGACCCAGGACCCAAAGAAACCTTCAGATATGGTGAGGTGAGGAGAGAGAATCTGGCAGAGTAAGTCACGTTGCCTTTGTTTACTTTACACTAACTAATGACTAAGGTCATGAGTTGAGAAGGAAGGGAAGTGTAGAGAGGATAGAGAAGCCTTAGAAATGTGGGTATGGAAAACGATAGGAATTTGTCAGGAACAGATAAGAATCTCAGAAGTAATAGGACACTAGATGCTGTATTTGACTAAGGCCCAGTCTCCATGATTATATAACTGTTTTCAAGCCTTCCCCACAGCCTGGGAGCAGAGTGCGTGTCAGTGTTGGTCAGAAGGGGAGAGAGCAGACTGTGGGGTCCAGGCAGGACCCAGAGGTGTTTTAGTGATCTGCATCAGGTTAATTATCTTCTTACTCCTCCAGCCTTAAACTGAATCATAGGAAATATTAAAGGCATTTTTGAAGCAATGAATCTAAAAATAAGATTTTAGAAAATGGAAGATGTGTAAAATCTAGAAATAGCGCCAAGATTAAAGTGTGACTAAGGTGACAGGGACTCTCTGATGGGTGTATCACATGTATATGTCATTTTAGTTAACCCTGGTGAATCTTGAAGGGGAAATGGTGGTGTTCTCAGGTTCAGAGAGAGGAAGTGCTCTTTGCTGCCCAGTGAATTTGGTAGGACAGGAGTTCAGACCCAAGCCTGCAGGACTCTCAACCCAAATACATTCCATTCAGCATAGAGAAGTTAAGAGTTATTAGCATGTAAACTTCAGAAGGGCAGGATGCTCATAACCATTTGTTCACTGGATGAATCAATGATAAACCAGTAGCTGGCTGGCCATATATCCACGATTGCTTACCAAATGTATTCTGAAATTTGCCAGGCCCTGTATGTGGCTTACCACTTTGCAGATTGAAAGTATGTAACTTGATTTTTAGAGTGCTTTTGTGGTTTGCAGAGTGTTTTGTTTTTTTTTTTTTTTTGAGACAGAGTCTCACTTTGTTGCCCAGGCTAGAGTGAGTGCCGTGGCGTCAGCCTGGCTCACAGCAACCTCAATCTCCGGGGCTCAGCGATCCTACTGCCTCAGCCTCCCAAGTAGCTGGGACTACAGGCATGCGCCACCATGCCCGGCTAATTTTTTTTTTGTATATATTTTTAGTTGGTCAATTAATTTATTTCTATTTTTTTTGGTAGAGACGGGGTCTCGCTCAGGCTGGTTTCGAACTCCTGACCTTGAGCAATCCGCCCGCCTCGGCCTCCCAAAGTGCTAGGATTACAGGCGTGAGCCACCACGCCCGGCCTGCAGAGTGTTTTTATATGCGTGTGTTGGATGCTGGGAAGTGGCTGGGGGCTGGGTATTATTCATTTTACAGTTAGGAAAAGTAGTTCATGAATGCAGGGGTAGAGTGCTAGCATTTTTTCACCTGCAGAATGTGTTCCTTTTGGGTGGCTACTAAAATATGAATATAATTTAATCATTCTTGGATTCCTAGGATACTATTGGTATAAGAATACTCAAAGTATTCTTGAATGCCCTTATGGATATGGTATACCACTAAAATATATTACTAAAATTTTCTAGTAGTTTATATCATAATTGGGAAAGTGAGTACAATTTCTAATTAACAGCTCTAAATTAACACTTTAGATAATACCTGTCAGGAGAAAACAGGTGTGATGGCAGCTTCTGATGTCCCTTTATGCCTCTCAGTTTGCTATGATGATAACTCAGTGTTCTCACGATTTAAAAGAAAAATACAAGTAGGATGCTGCAGGTGGTCAAGGAAAGAAAACAAAAACTTATTTGGTAGAGCTTGCTTTTACAGAGTAAGGAATAAGCTCTTTTACTATTTAAATATGAAAGCAATATATATATATATAAAATATATATGTAGGCAAATATATATCACTTGTTCCTGTATTATATATATATTTACTATCATATATAAGGAAATATGTATTTGCATATAGGTAGTTAATTACCAAGAACTAAAGCATAAAAAAGGTCTAGTCGCTAGATTGTAATGATCATTCTATGATAGTATATTAAATGGCAGCCCATTTTAGAGTATTGAAACAAGTTTAATAAGCGATCCCTAGAGGTTCAGTGTTCTGCTTTGGAGAGTAGCCCTAGGTTTAAAAACATAGTGACATAGGCTTGCTGTACAGAACAGTATGCAGCGTGTCAGCTGACACTGGTGTTAGTTTCATGATCTGAAGGAAATGAAATATAATTGCCGTACTCGTCACACCTTGAGCATTATGGTAAGCAGGCTCTATCTGATAGAATTCTTTAGTTGAGCAATGTTTATAACTAATATCTGCCATGGTTTAAAAAGTATTTTTTAAGGAAAGGACAGCTCTTCTTGTCTGGCCCATTTTTCTGTCTTCCTTTTAAAAGCTGTGGTATGATGTGGATGGAATATAACTGTGAGGTTTACAATTAACCATTTTCATAGCAGTCTGTTTTCTTGCTACTCAAACTATGAAACTGTGAAATTTCTTATTGAGGATATCTATTATACTTGTGCTGAGTCATTTTGAGTTAAAGTGAATGGGGTAAAGGTCTATTTTTAGCCCCTCAAGGCCTAGTGAGGGCGCTGGGTTAGCAGAATGCTCTGTCATGTACATCTGTTCATGTCGTGCCCACTGAAAGAGACTTGATTCTAATTTCATTAGGGCTTTTTTGGCCACTGAATCTAAAGACATGCATTCACTTTGTTATACATTGTAAAAGATTTTTCTTTCTTGTGAGAAATAAAGGATCTTAAGGTTAAAAGTATACACGGTGAAAGATTATTTGCTTGTGCCTGTTTTCTTTTTTTTGAGTCAGAGTCTCACTCTGTTCCCAGACTAGAGTGCCGTGGGGTCAGCCTAGCTCACAGCAACCTCAAACTCCTGGGCTCAAGCGATCTTCTGTCTCAGCCTCCCGAGTAGCTGGGACTACAGGAATGTGCCACCATGCCCAGCTCATTTTTTTCTCTCTCTATTTTTTTTTTTTTTTGAGACAGTGTCTCGCTTTGTTGTCCAGGCTAGAGTGAGTGGGCGGGCGAGGCGGCAAAGCCTCAATCTGGCTCGAGCGAGCGGCTCGGCTCGTCCGGGTAGCTGGGACTACAGGCATGCGCCACCATGCCCAGCTAATTTTTTATATATATATCAGTTGGCCAATTAATTTTCTATTTATAGTAGTGACGGGGTCTTGCTCTTGCTCAGGCTGGTTTTGAACTCCTGATCTTGAGCTATCTGCCCACCTCGGCCTCCCAGAGTGCTAGGATTACAGGCGTGAGCCACTGTGCCCAGCCTTGTGCCTGTTTTCAACATTTATTTTTCTTTAAAGGTTGACTCTTATTTTTATCCTCCTATTTCCAGATTCTTCCATGCACTCTCCTCAAGTTTTATCCCAATTTTGTGTAGAGGCTTATACCCTGATCCTGACCCTTAAAAGATGACAAAGCTTTAACATTCACTCCCAGTGTTGACTTACATCATCTGGACTGCTTTTTTTTGTTGCAGTCATGAGTGTTCCTATTTCTTTTCTTTTCTTTTTTGAGACAGAGTCTTACTCTGTTGCCCAGGTTAGAGTGAGTGCCGTGACATCAGCCTAGCTCACAGCAACCTCAAACTCCTGGGCTCAAGCAATCCTACTGCCTCAGCCTCCTGAGTAGCTGGGACTACAGGCATGCGCCACCATGACCGGCTAGTTTTTTCTCTATATATTAGTTTGCCAATTAATTTCTTTCTATTTATAGTAGAGACGGGGTCTCGCTCTTGCTCAGGCTGGTTTTGAACTCCTGGCCTCGAGCAGTCCACCCACCTCAGCCTCCCAGAGTGCTAGGATTACAGGCATGAGCCACCGCACCTGGCCCCTATTTCTTTAAAAAAGAAAAAAAAAAATTACCCTATTTTCTTTAGACTGTGAGCTCCTAGGGGACTAAGATGAGGTTTTTGTGATTTTCTTTTGTATTGAGTCTGGCTCAAGACCTTGCTTACATAAATATTTAATACTCTTTTTGATGGTAACTGACTTTTGGCTATATAATGGGCATTTAGGCCCTTAAGTCGGCCCCTTGAGCAATATGATACGCCTTTGAAAGGACAGAAGCCATTCTGGGAGTTACATTAATATTTTCACATTTTATCAGTAAGTTCCATTGAATATCCTTTATTAGTAAAATATGTATACTAATTTGTATCTACAAACCTATAATTTTAAAACTTTGGTATTCCTTTAAATATTGATAATGTGTTTATTTTGGAACATGGAAAATTTGTAAGACCTTTGTGTTAAAAGTGTATAAATGCCTGATTTTTATATACCTGGCAGTAAACTAATGTGTCTTTTTGTTGTTGTGCAGAGCTCTGGTATCGAGACTTTAGTGGAGGAGCTCTGCTCCAGACTGAAAGACCTTCAGAGCAAGCAAGGTGAGGGTGCTGCTTTGAAAGCGCGGTGTGCACACATGCCAGGATTGCATCTCCAAGGGTTGAGGAAAATCTTAGAATTGACCGTAAAAAAGAACACGAAGAATAAAGTCTTTGTGTTAGTGTGTGTCACCAGGCCAGCCTCATGCTCCATCTTTAGCTCTGTTAGTGGCTTCTGTGTCAGCCCAGCAGTGGCTTATAGAGCCCTGCTCCCAAGGGAGATACTTACTCCACGAGTGCTCATATAAATGAAACATTTCATTTTTTGTCTTAAAGTTGAAGCTCAGAGATTGAGAGCAACACTTTTTCCTCTCTTTCCCCATCCTCAAGGAAACAAGGATCCTTAACCTTAACACGTAGGTCTCATTCTTAGGGACTACAGGAGAGTAAGAAAAGCAACTATGAGGAGGGTTCATGTATCAAAATGACTTAATGAGCTTATCAAGTCTACCTGTCCAAAGAACTTGAGATTCAAAACAGAAATCCCAGCACTCTGGGAGGCCGAGGCGGGCGGATTACTCGAGGTCAGGAGTTGGAAACCAGCTGAGCAAGAGCGAGACCCGTCTCTACTATAAAATAGAAAGAATTAATTGCCCAACTAATATATATATATATATTAGCTGGCATGGTGGCGCATGCCTGTAGTCCAGCTACTCGGGGGAAGGCTGAGGCA